ATGTAATTCCACCCATCACCCACCCATTGAGAAAAGGAAAAAAAACACAACACTCACAAAAAAACAAAAAAAAGGGGAAGAAAAAAAAAAAAAAAAAAAAAAAAAAAAGGAAAAAAAAAAAAGGAATTACAAACTTACCATAGCCCATAATGAATTTATTAACATACAAGAAAATAGATCATCCTGATGCGTAAATTCTGAAAATATAATGTGAAGTAGCTCTCCTGTTAACAAGACCGACTGTGCTGCCATAGCTTTCATCTTTCTGTTATACATTTCGTGGGTAAAAAATGGTCAGCGAAAGAACCTCCCTCCTACTTTTTTAGTCACCTAAAGCACTCTTTATAGCCTCAATTGGAAATGTGTAACATAAATCGTTTCACAATATAATGGGTATTGGCGGTGATGATCACTTTGATAACTGACCAATTATTACTACATTAATCCAGGCCCTGATTGGTATATTTGATCGGGGAATCTGTAATATCCTATATGTATATAGCGATAAGTAACCGTTAAACAGTCATATGAAATTCGATTCACTGCATAATTCCTAGTAATATCGAAATTAAAGTTCAGCGTTAGTGTTAGTATTAATGATTTTGATTTTGTCACCGACACAACACACGCGTGAACTAAGCCCATCATGACATAAAATCTCCAAGTATTTCTAATTAATTGGTCTAATATAACACGTGATTGTCTTTTACTATTTCAGTACGTATATTATATTAATACCGTATCAAGTACGTATAAAATTAGTCAATTAGTCAATTAGTAAAATATTATCATAAAATTGAATTGTACTTTTTATTAATCTAATTATACGTATAATTATTTTCTTTAACAATGGGTTTCAAATTAACTTATTTATTTAACATAGTAAAAATCCTATTTGATTTTAAAATGCGCTATATACTTATTTATTAATTTTGAAACCCTAGAATTTAGTTGGAAAATTTTAAAATTTCAATGTCAACCAAATAATTTAATAAAGATTTTAATTGAATAAATTATACTTAAAGTAATATACAATATATGGTGACCTCCACAGCAGAAGGGGGGCAATGAGACAATTCTGTAATATTATAAAAACTAAATTCCTATTGATCTGATTCTTCGAGAAATTAATTAAAATAAAAAATTTGTTTTTGGCCCATTGCGGAGGATCCCATATATAACCTAGTAATAGTTGATATGTGAATATCAAGAAAAAGTTTAAAAAAAATGAAGAATTCACCAATAAGATAAAAGAAATTGAAATATTTCAATGCGATAAGTGTAGACATCAGATCTATAGGATGCATATGTCTACGGCTAACTATATATAGTTATTCCTTATGTAATGCTTGAAAAAAAAATTTCATCCCAAATTTTTATTAATCAGGTGCTAATCGTTTAATCGTATTAACCGTATTAACCGTATTAACCGTTAACTCAGCTGGCATTAAGATAACCTTGGCCCACGATCAACATAATTCGTCCCGAAATTATGGAACAATTTTTGTGCGGTTAAACGGTTCAAATCCTTAAACTTATATCGATTCAATCAAGATAAAACTATACTGAATTCCAATTTTTGGTTATGACTTGAGTTTGTATAATGAATGAATAAGATTCTTTAAGTCTGCCATATAACGAATTGAGAATCGTAGTCTGCTTTAATTGAGAAAAATTAATTTCGATTAAGTTTGCAACAGAAACTAAGAATAATATTAAACCTAAGGATTCGAGATCAAGGTAATAAAATATTTTTAATGCATGTTATTGATAACGAAAAGATAATTTGTTGATCTATTGTAATAAAAAGAAACACTTCTACCAACAATTTCAGAATAATAGAAAGATCTAGACTTGTCGTTGATACCAAGACGCTTGTTGATATATTCTTGAACATTCTGTCGAAAACCAGAAATGCCCTGAACAAGTGTTACATCATCTATGATACAAAAGAAATTCATGAAATTTCAACTAAAGATGTGTCTTTGTCGTCTTCTTACAAAAATATCAAGCAAGTACCGTATGTTGATTGAACTATTGGTAAGATTCACAATAAATAATTAAAAAGTCCATAATTCTAACAAGAATTTAAGCAATTCTCAATTATCAAAATAGATCTTTTCATGATTGATGTAAAGTAGTTAATCACATTTAGACCTTTATAAAAAAAATGCCAATATTCTACGAACGATCCACGTTAAAGACATTCTGATCAACTAAAGTTAATTCATAAGCTTCTGACGATTTAACTTCATTAAAAGACAAACTAAATACATATACGTACGTACTTTCTATTAACAAATTTTAACTTTTAAGAACAAAATCACAAGATCTGTTTTCCACTTGATTTAAACGACTTCGCTTCAAACGATCAAACTTACTTCTTGGGCGTATTGTACATGAAACACAAAAGATAATAGGTTTCGGAAAATGAAAAGTATCTCAGGACATTTCATTTATCAATAAATTTCAATCATATAAATGAGATTAACTATATCACAAAGGATATTTTATAAAAAATATATATTTATAATTGAATTATCAACCTTTAATATAACCGCGTTAAATAGATCGTACGCGATTTAATATAGATAATTACAAACATACAATTACGCGACTCATTTTTTTTTCCTAAAAAAAAAAAAATGCAAACGAAATAAAACGCAAAGAAATCTACGAATACATATTACTTTTTTAATTTTTTTCTCATTATAAAGTATCATATAATTATATATATATGTATGTGTCAGAAGGGGATTTAATAAGCAAAAGTAAACGCAGAAACATTATAATTTCTCAACGGTCCGTACTCATTCCTGCTTTTTATTCTTGGGATTTTCGGTCCTAGCAATAATCATAAGACGCGTTAAATTATTAATCAAACAAAAAAAAATCGTCTGTTCCTAAATTAATACTCACGAGTCGGCCCATTTCTTAGCGACAAGTTTAAAAGCGTCTTTGTGATCAAGTCCAGGATTCTCGGCTTTGAGTTTAGGAAGTTCCTTTTTCACGAACAAATTATACTTGGATGGAGGCTTTTTTTCTATTGATTTATTTATAAAAAACGACCATAAAAATTATTATGACTTTTTTTTTTTCTTTATTTTCTCTTGACGAAACACGTAATAATTATTCACCTTTTGCTTCTTCCTTTGGCTTGCTTTTCGTTTCAGTCTTTGGCCTGCTTCTCGTTTCAGTCTTCGTTGTTGTTGCCTTTCCCATATTTTCTTTTGTTTTTTTTTAATGTAAGTATTAAAGTTAAAGAGTTTTTAAAGTATTTTGATGTTATTGAAGAAAAGTTTTATTGAAGGTGAAAAATAGTAAAGCGTATCGCGTCGCTTTTTTTATTCTGATTTCAATACCACGTGATATAGGTATTGTTATTGTTATTGTTTATAAATCAAGAAATCATGAGACTTTTGTTTTGTACTTCACGTCATTTTTAATATCAAAATCTTCATCACTAAAAATTATACTATCAGCTATGATGTTTTTTTTCATATCTGATAGATCAGATATGCTTTATGTACCATTATTAAAATATACATTTATCTATTTTTAGCACTTGTTAATATGAAATTTGGATTTTGTTAATTTGTTTTCGTGTTGCAGTCTTTTTTTATTAAAATAAATAGTGATCCTGGCCGATAGTAAAAATCGGCTAATCGATTTATTAATGACATTCCTAAAAGTTCCGATGTAGAAAATGAACGAACTTAATCTTCCAAAGAATTCCGAAATTTTAATAACTAATAACATATGCGCGCATTTTTGGAATTAAATTATAAAACATGCAAAGAGTATCAATTAGTTGACGTAAATGCCTGTAGTTAACATTTCTTTCAATACAGCAATAGACCAATAATCTTTCGGATTCGGATCTTTAATAGTTTCTTATTTCATGTACTGTATTTGCCCAGTACTGCATACTATAAATACATGTATTATATTAAAAGAGGTACATTTAGAGAAGTCTGACTGTATATACTGAACATTCGAAACTCATACGTACCATTATTGGATTGCTATACTTAGTTTTTATATTGCTACTATGTAAATTTGCCTGTTCGACTGTTTAAAAGTAGTATTTAATTTGTGATTATCTAAAGTTACGGTTGTACTAAATTCTTTAACTAGTTGTGATACTATTAGTGCTAGTTTTTTTGATTCGTATACAGTAATAATGAAAAAATTTTTATAGTAAGAAAGACTTATAAACTAATAATTAGAACTGTATAATTTATAGAGATGGTAAAAAATAAATTTAAATAAAGTACTTTATTACATATTATATTTAGAACAATAAATATCAGATACTCAAATAATATAGATATAACAGTTATTTGAATCTTAATTGTATATTGATACAAAGTAAAATATATATAATTTATAAAGTACGAAAATTTCTAAACTTATCCAAACAAATATTTACTATTTTAGTATATATGTTAATATATTATTAGTAATTAATCTAAATAATATACCTATATAATAAATGAATTTTAACAATTAAAAAATTCTAATAATTTGATAAAATTAATTTATTAGTTTTTATAACATGAAAATTTAAACTTCAAAATTTACAAAAATATTTATCTAGCTATTAAATAATATAAAAAAAAATTTTTTAAAATTTTAAATTTAACTTGTTTGAGTTATAAAAACTAACAAATTAATTTTGTATAACAAATAAAAAAGTTAAAAAATATATTACTAATTACAAATACTTATAAAAATAATTATAATATATAAACAGTTAAATAGTAGTATTTAAATCTAAATATATAATTCAAGTATTTTCAAATATTATATCTTAAAAAAAATTAAAATAAATAGAATTATTATTTTTTAGCAAATATTTAAAAATAAGTAAATATTTTATATTATCTTTTTTGAGTTTATTATTTTTTTTATTAAAGTTACTTTTTTAACTAATTAGATTTTATTAATTTATTATTACAAAGTTATATATATAGGGTGAAGTTAATAGAAAAGGGACAAATTTTTTCTAAGTAAATATTTTCTCAAGTTTAGAATAAAATATTTTAACAACTACTAAAGCAAATTCTATAAA